ATTATTTGCCTCCCAGAACGGAACCAACTTATACAGGAAATTACAATTTTTTTTTTATTTTTTTTTTTTAAATATTTCTTTCAGCTTTCATATTTATATCAAATACGCATATATCTTCACTCATGTGCATATTAAGAATACCATATACAGAGTACATTTACATACATAGATATACATTTACACACAGACACTTATGTGAAAATTGGTTTAATGAGGAAGAAGAAATATAGGAAAAAGAGGGAGAAAGCAAAAAAAAGTAAATAATAAATAAATAAATAAATATAATAAAGAAGGGAGCATAGTATTTTTTTACATTAAGGTGGTAATGAGCAACATTCATTCCTTAAAAAAGTTGTATACATATAAATTATTACAAAATTACAAATTTTCAGGAAACCGCGGGAGTTATGGCAGAAGTCGAGGATCATCATATCCAAACAGAGGAGAATATAGAGGAAACTGAGGATCCACATACCAAGAGGAGTATATGGTGGATACCGTGGTAGAAATTCAATTTAAACCATAGAAGCCACCAATGAGGGACAAATTGGCGGCTTTATGGAGGAACCTTGTCCCACTGAAATCAATTCACAAGTTTTATGCATTAGATGTGGTCAATATGGCCATTTGGACACAAAATGCCATATTAGACTGGACCATTCAAGACGTCAACATGGTTTTATTCCACAAAAGACTTAGAAACAAATATTGAGACAAAATACAACACTTGTCGGGTCATCTAATGAGATAGAAGTGCAGATACAAGGTGTGCTGACACTGGCGCTCATCGATACTGGATCTGCTATGTCGACTATAAGTCGCAAATTTTATGATACCCATCGCAGGTATGTTAAGGCAGTACCCAGATCATATTTCGGCGAATTTAGACTTTTTTCGTAAAATGTTACATTGATAAATCGGAAAAGTCATAGATAAAACATTTACTTTTATAATCCCTTGTAAAGACGTCACTGAGTCTTAAGCTGTAAGAAGCACTCCACTACGACGTCATCACGTGACGTCTATAAATAGAAAAACTGCCTTAATGAAAAAGTGAAAAGTTCAACACTACCCCGGAGCTAATTCATTTCTTTTAGTGAAAATTATTATGTAAAAACATCACTGGGCCATGAAAAGTGCTGCTAGAATCCTACTCTCCCGACACAGAAAAAAATATTCCAAAGTTTCACATGAAACCTTACCAAAATTTTTACATTTTATACATACGATCAAGGAATTGTTATCAATTCATGTTAACCAAACAATTCTAGCAGCACTTCCCAAGTACTATAGAATACAAGCTTTCGATACAAACAAAAAATTTGTTTCAAAGTATGCGGCGTAGTGTTGAACTTTTGCATCTTTGTTGTTATAGAACGACAGAGGAAAGGCTGATCGGACTTTCAAAGCACTGCCTGTGTTCATTTTAAGAAAACATGATAAGAATATATCAGCGTACCTGATTCTTAATCTTTAATTCCTTATGAATCACACATAACATTCACGGTATATGCTTTAAAACTCCCATTTCATCTATTTGTTTACATGAATTCTTGTCACGTTTAACTTCACTCGGCAAATATTTGATCAATAGTTATGACGTCATGGGTTTGGTATTTAACCCCCGTGCTAAATACTTAGCTATTTATATCACCCAAAACGACAAGATTTAGTTTATATTATGTTTTGAATGATTCCATTCATTTCTTTAACCTGAAATTAAACTTTAAATATAGATATTAACCCTCTGGCTGCGGGAAGGACATAGATGTCCTTTTACCGTTCGCTGCGGGAGGGACATATATGTCCCTGGCGACGTCATAAATGTTGCGTGATTTCTCTCTAGTTTTATTGAGATTTTCTTTAAGGTTAAGATCTAGTAAATAAAAGGAGCGTACAGATTTCTCAAATTTGAGAAATAAATTCCTTTAATGAAGCTTTATAAATATAGCTTGGTCAAATAAGGTGTTTCGGGGCATAATTTGTAGGTAAACAAGACGAAAAATCATATATTAAACTGTCATTTTTATTGAAAAATTAGGAAAATCAGTCATGAATATGGGAGTTTTTTTCCATATCAGACAAATTAAATGTATCCAGATTGCCTACAGTCTCTCAGAAAACGGTAATTTGTATGTTCTTGGCCTCTTCTTTAAAATAATATTAAATTGAATATAGGTTTCGGGATTACTTTTCACATGATCTCAAATTGAATTCCAGGAAAATACTTTATTTTCTACATAATTCTATTACAGCCGTAAAGTACGGGAAAAAAGAAAGTTTAATTTGATTATGACGTCATAATGGATCTAGCATCAAAAATGCAGTCTAAAATCATTTGGCGTATTCGACTGGTACTTTTTAGATGAGTAAAAATAAGCTCCGCCCACCTGCGCAGAAGGAAAAAATTACTAAACGGAGATGTACCAGTCGAACAGGAATTTGAATAAAACTTCGAGCATCTTTAAAATGAAAGTAAAATACGTCACTTCCGCTTTCAAGAACGATGGATACCGTAGAAAAAACAGGATCTTTTTTAATCGTTGGAGACTCTGACAGCAGCGATGAGGAAGAAAGTGATGAAGAAGGCATTGAATCTTTGTTATTGCTACATTTGTAAGTGTTGTATTGTTACCTTGTAACAGCTATTGGATCTTATTCCGAAATTCCTCCGACACTTATCCCTTAATTTTACGAATGCCAAAAAAATATATAAAAAGAACGGATAAAAGTGGCTAGGGGCAGAGATTTCGGTTTGAAAATACATTCAAAACAGGATTTTTGAGTGTTAAAATTTATAAATAGTAAATAAAAAAAAAATAACAGTTGACACTCTTTCCCTGGAAAACGATGATCACCTGTTAAGTTGGTAAGATTATTCCAGGGATGTATATAGTATATATGTCCCTGATTATATGTAGAAAAAAAAAGAAGCAGCTGCACCCCCTTTCCAGGCAATAGGGTTTTGTGTAGAGTCAGGGAAAATTGTTTTATCTGCAACTTTTCTATTCAATTAAACCACAGATTCGAAGCCTGTTCATTCATTTTCAGATGTCTAATTTGGATACTGATCAATAAAATCCTAAACTATTACTAATTTAACAGTATTTAATTTTCATGTACTTTTAGCTCATCACTAAAGAAGTCTATCCCACAGAAGAGACACAGACAAAACAATTACACAGGCAGTGTTGCGTTGCACTTTCGTGTTGACGAATTCAAAACTTTTTTTAGAGTTTCCAGAATAAGTGTGGAATGTCTCAGAGGTAAAATTTCTGAGATTTGTGTAGAACAGGGTGTTTCAGGGATTCTATGCAGACATTCTACAGGAGGATCGCCACAAATACCTCTAGAAGATCGCCTTTTAATATTCTTGTGGTACATGGCTAGCCTGGATAAATATGCAGCCATAGCTGACAGATTTGGTGTGAGCGAAAGTACGTCCTCCTATGCAATACGTAATTTGATAACATTTATACACGATTACCTGTTGAGTATAATCATTTTATGGCCAACGCCTCAAGAGCAACAAGAAATGAAGGATATGTACATGGAATTAAAACATTTCCCAGGTATTGTTGGAATGATAGATGGAACACACATTTCCATAAAGAAACCATTGATCAGAGGGATAGACTACTATAATCGTAAGGATTATTATTCCATTGTTCTGCAAGCAGTAGTTCAAGAGGATTTAAGATTTACTAACATATTTGCTGGATTTCCTGGGAAAGTGCACGACGCTCGAGTTCTACGGCAATCACCACTCTTTCAGAATGGCCCAGCATTATGTGGTGAGGGACATTTATTAGGGGACTCTGCATACCCTAACATGTCTTGGTTATTAACTCCCTTTAGGGACAATGGTCGTCTTACAAATGTGCAGCTGCATTACAATTATACACACAGGAGTATACGCAGCACGGTTGAAAGGGCTTTTGGACTCTTGAAAGGACGCTTTACTAGACTGCAACATATCAATCAAAATGAAATGGAGGGCATCGTACAGACAGTTGTTACTGGATGTATTCTGCACAATATTTGCATCATAAACCATGATGACTTTCAAGAACTTTTGAATGAAGACCCAATACCTCAACAATTGCCAGGCGCAGAAAATTTTGATGAGAATTTACTTTATCAAGGATCAGTGAAGAGACTTCAGATAGCAAGAGCATTGTAATCTCATTCCCAAAATAAAAAAATACATGTACTAAATGAGGTTAAAAATGGACAATTGTCAGTTTTGTATGGGTTTTTTTTTTTTTGGTGGAAAAAGAGATCAAAACTTATTTATATTTTTACTCCATTTGCTATTTTCCTTCTATTTCAAGTATGTATTAAACATTTTAGAATGATTTTTCAGTGTACATCCATTTCCAAGATCATTTTTCATTTGATATGTTCTTTAAGCTGGTAGTGTTTATTTTCACTTAAACAATCAAAGTTTGATGAAAAATAATAAAACCTCAAATATTTTGTTTGAATCTTTTAAATTCTCCTGGTTCAAATCAAGGGGGCAAAGATCTTTACAATTTAATTAATATACATATTTAAGTCTGTGCAGAAGCAAAGCAGGTTCTTTTGTGTGCCTCTCTTTCAGCAAATTACACTTGACCATGATTTCTGCAAATTAGAGACCTTAGTCATCTTTCTTTACATCAAAGTGGAATTTGAACCCACAAAGTAAGGTTTGAAAACTGAAAAAGAGAGGTTTACTGATCTACTTATTTTGCCATGCAGGCAGTATTATCAATGTACATTGAATCTTTACAAGTACATACCCAAGTACTGGTACAACAATAGCATACAGAAATCATGGATGACAAACATTTTAAGGTCACACCAACAGTTGATGTGCATAAAACTTAATTGAGACTATCAGGACTTTTTTTCCATTCATTTGCTATGAGAAATTAAAACTCTGAAAATGGCATAAAATGGTAATTCTTTTAATAAGAACAAAAACAAAAAATGGCACAAGAAAATGTAATCTCTGATTGAGCAAAAACTGTAAAAAAGAAAAATTAAAAAAAAAAAACATAGAAAAAATTATACATTTGAATATCTTATTCATATATAAAATAATATAAACAACTGAATTGGAAAAATCACAGAAATATAAAAAAAAATGTTGATTTTTATATATGCTTTCCAGCATAAAATAACTGTCAATCCAAACAACACAAATGACCCTAATGGTAAGGGATCTTTTCTGACTAGAATATATAGCAAATATTTCACAGATTCAATAAGTATGACTGCTAAAATCTAGTAAAAATTCAACATATTCAACCCGAGAAACAGTTGCCCTGTTGGCCACTTAGCTCTGTACTCTGCTCTTGCGTGTCTCAGTAGAGATGATGGGACCATTTCCAATGTATTAAGATTTAAGTTAACCTGGCCCACCAATTCATTGGCTATTTCTGCAAAAACATGATAGTCCAAAACAGTTTCCATATTGCATTCGACATCACAATATTTGAGAGTTGGAATTTTTTCTAGAATACATTTCAGTTCTCCAACAGTTCTGTTATCACAAAACACAAGTTTCAAAACCAGTAACTTAACAAGTGACAAAGAACACAGTAACTGAAAAAAATTATTCTCTAAACAAAATCCTTTCAGGATAAGATTTTCGAGTTTTTGAAAGTTCACATTATCAAATAAGTTGATAATTGGCTGTACATCACTGGTTTTCTGTCCACCATATAGACCAATTATAGTCACTTTTTTCAAGTCTGGCATCAACTTCATGCCACAGTCATTTGTAAGTGCACTGATGTGAATAATCATTTCAGTTCTTGTGAGGTAGACCAAATTTCTGAATTTTTTGCAAACTAAATACAATTTACAACTAAGATCATCCCTTTCAACAAATTCAAAAATAGTCTTCAAAATGTGCAGTGGCAATTCACAAATTTTATAGGAACCTGAAAAAAGAAAAGATATTGTTCATATAGTCCCTTTCAAAACATGTATTACATTCTATTTATTTTTTAAAATTTCCAAAAATTGTCTTAACAGGTCATTTTTTTCTTTAGCTCGCTCATCTCTTTTTCTCTCTCGTTCCTCCCTTTCCGTTTTGCGCTGTTTTTCCATTTCTATTACAACTTCCATCAACTTTGTACCTGATTCTGAAGTACTATCTAACTTTCTTTTTTCCCGTCGTCTGCATGCTGACGAAGATAAGCTTTTTTTGCCGTTTCCTTGACAAGTTTCAGAAGCTGCTTTCCTCTCCGTGTCTGAAGTGCTGGAGTCTGTATCTGGCTTGAACTCATTCTTCTCCTCTTGAGACGCTGACTGAGAATTTTCAACTTTGGTACTAAATTTTGTTGCTGTTGAAGTATTCACCCCAGAGCCTGATAGGAATGATGGATTCACATCATGACGTTTAGACAAAATGGCATCGATTCTTTCGAAATACTGAAAAGTTTTGCGTTTCTGTCCAGTTTTGGTTTTATTATCCCTAAGAGTTTTATGAGACGCAATCAGACTTCTCCATTTACCTTCCACTTTGGTCTGAGAAAATTTAAATCCAGCATTGTTTAATCCCTCTGTAATTAATTTCCAAATATCTTTTTTCTTCCTTCTTGGGTCTTCCATTTTTTCTTCATGTTCTTCATATAGATCAATAAGTTGGTCTGTAGCTTCTCTACTCCAACTCAAAGAGGTAGAAGCAGAGATATCTTCAACATCACCTGAAAAAGATAATTCACTTGTGTAAACGAAAAAAAAAAATGGAGCTTTACTTTCATGGTTTTTTTTCAAATTTTCATCATTTAACATTAAACAATTACAGGAAATACCAAATTTTTTAAAATTTCAATCATATAATTTGTACTTGAACAGTCTTCATGAAAACTTTTTAAACTTACTGGCCAGTAGGACCAGTGAACTTTCTAAATTTACTGGCCCACCAAAAATTATACTTGCCCCCTTCATTTAAAACAATGACTGCTTTAAGTGTTATGATTAAAATTCTGGGTTTTCACTTTACTTACTTGCTTCATCCTCATGAAAATCTGTACATTCTGTTGCAACTGTAGATGTCTGGCTTTCCTCGTAATTTTTTCTTATTTCTGCTAGTAATTCTTCATCTGGAGATAAGTGAATTATGATAAATAAATTTAGGCAATGAATAAAAGTACTAGTATTACATCCATTTAAATGTCAATCTGGAGTTCTTTATGCAGTAAAATACAATTTATACCAGCTAAATGCTTGAAATCAGTGACATGAAAAAAAAAAAAGATTTTCAATTGGTTTAAACTCAATCTATCAAAGTTGTAAATTTCATTTGTCATTTTTCAGTTTAATCTAAAATACAGTAACTATCACATTCATTTAGAATTAAAATTTACCCCCATTCTCTAATCTTTTTATTATGTTTTGGTCCAAAACTTGAGAGAACGTGAATCCATCTGGATAACTGAGCTGAACTTCTTGCCAAAATCTACAACAAAATGCAGTGCAGTGAAGAGTACAATATATTTTTTAAAATGTAATAACTAGGTACACATCTTAGATCTAGGATAAAGCACCCAATCTCCAATTCTTCATCTTTCAAAGCTACGGATATGTGTTGCATTTTTATTCTTAATTATTCATTTGATTTAAATATTAAACCCCTGCAACACTTTCTTAATAACTAGTGGAAACACATTTTCACAGCATCTTTTCATCACAAGTATATATCCTTCACATCTTCTCTAATCTACACTATCTAGATAAATGGAAATTCACATGAAGTAAACATCTACGATACTGTAGTTTTAAGAATAAAAATTCCTTATATGTTACAAATAAATGATGTTTGTCAAATTTCCTTCATTGATGCTTCTTGTTTTTCTAAGTGTGTCAATTTATAGATTTAATGATGAAAGAAAGTGACGAGTACATAGTGATATGCATTCACACATAGCGAAAGGTTCCCTTTCACTTGGAAGTTGGAGGAATTTCGGGCTAACACAAACCAAGTCGTCCAGATTAAAAATTCTGAACGTCTGTGTTTCACAATATGCTCAGAAATTTTTCATTATTTACTCCTTTTACAAATAAATATACTTCATTTGTAAATATCTTTAAAATATCACAACAAATAACAAAGTTTAAAATACTCACGACTTGTGCGCTTCACACTCCGCCATTTTTTTCAATCACGTGATCTTACTCATCGCGCTTTTTTCTTCGATGAGATTCGTACTCTACGGATTTTCGTTACTCATCACAAAATACCAGTCGAATAAAAAATTATCTAAACAATTTTCCGTTACTTCATAAAAACGACCAGTCGAAAACGCCAATTTACTAGATCTTTACCTTAATATTATTACATTTTCAAAGCATTTTTTCTAAAGTTCACGTCATACAGCTTACTATGACGTCACATTATAAAGGCAAGTAGGATATCTCTGGGCGTAGCCTTAACATACCCACGATCTACAGGATATTCCTCTGCAGCCAGTTGATTGACTAGTTACTTCAAGGAGGTCAAATATATTCTGGGAAGTTCCCATATTGTAAACTGACATGTCCATAAATTGAGTTACTGTCTGATTGTCAAAGTATCAGACAAGTATAGGAAGGATTTACGCAAAGTTTCTATCATTGCTTTCATCACAGGCCAAGGAAAATGGTCTTATCCTGTAATCATGAACTACGTCTTTGTGAAGCTGAGGAGCAAGGGCGTTCTTAACTATCACGGTAGTCTTTGTGCGGCCACAGGCAAATTTTAAAGCAGTGTTGATGTCAGGAAACGTGGACTTGCAGAGTTTGGTGTCTGCAACAGCAAAAGGGATGTGCTCCGCAATAACAATAATAAAAATTCTGCTTTCAGCACCCTGAAATGGAAATTATTTTGTCAAAGGTCAACATGATGAAATATGCTTCATTACATCATTTTTTTTCACCGTTGTCAATCTTTGTATTTTTCATACAGTCTTCAGAAATATGATCTTCGCCTTCCACACCTTTTGTAAGCCATTTTTGGAATTCTGCTTCCTTTTCACAAGAATTAAGGCATATGTACTTGCAGACGTATCTTTTCTTTTTTGACCTGGGTGGTGTATTTTTTATGCTTAAAAAACTCGTGACTATAATAAGGAATGCCATATTTCTTAAACTTATAACCATTTATGAGCCGCTTATAAGTATATTGTCAAATTTTGCTGCAAAGTCAACTCATCAATAGTTCATATCTACTTGTCACTTACTACTGTGTATTTCTAATATTTCCAAACCTGACTTGTCCGCTCTGTTAATTAACTCTGCTAATGAGAATCGAAAGCAATTACAATCCCAGTAATCACTTGACACCTTGTTGATTACCTGTTCAGCAGCAAAAAACGTGCTACAATTACTCAACTACATGCAATATTTATTATATCATACTGAATGTTTTATACAAATAAATATTACAGTGAACCTTAATTGCGCGCATAAATTCTTCGCAGTCAATATTTTTTTGGAATATCACCCGTCGTCAAGCAATGTAGATTGTTGCTACGCTGGAGTGCGTGGCTTCATTATTCAGCGGGTAATAGTAATTTTTAACAAATGTTTCTCAACAATTCAAACTCAATTAATTTACTTGAAAGTATAAAATAATTTAATAAAGGTTAAGAACTCACTGCGCATGCTATCTAGAAGAGAAATTACAAGTTTTTTCAAGCCTTTTACACGTAAATAAAATTCTTAAAAGGTAGAAAAAATAAGGTTTGCAGGTTTATTAAATTGTATACCCTGTATTAGCTATTCTTCATTATATACATGTAGCTTGAGTTAGCCACTAAAACCTTTATTTTTACATACCTAGATGTCTTCATAAAACCGGAGGTGCTCTTAATTATGGACCCAGAGAAATGCTGCATGATAGCATATGTTTGCTGTCAATTGCATAATATTTGCATTGACTTAAAGCTTCCTATACTTGAAGAGGACGAGTTTGATGGTATTACTGATGCGGACGGAGACCTTACCTATCAAGGACCTCTGAACGATGGCAAAGCAGTGAGAGAAGCGTTGATTCGTCAGCGCTTTTTGTAAAAAAAAAAAGAAATAGGTGACATGTAAACTTATTTCTTGCATACATGGAAAATTTCGAATGGATTTGAAAAGAGAGAGGGACACAAAGAGTCAGTCGAGTGTGTAATTTTATTCAATACATAAAGATTTATTTTCAATTATCTGTTAGTGATGCAAACAGCTCTAACAACAAATCCGTTCCTTTTTCAACACTTCCATTTAATTTTGTCAAAAGTTCAATCTGCAATTTGTTTTTTTGAAATTATTGGTCAAAAACTTGGCACTGTAGCTCATAAACGTCATCCAGAGTTCTTTTCCTTTTAAGCTTGTTTTTCCTGTAGAATAAATAATACTACACATTGTCAATGTAATTTTATGATTTTACACAGTTGCATTGTTAACAATTTTAACTGTTTTTTTTTAATTCAAAAAATAACTTCAAACTAATTATTTCAACGTACATAAAATCAATGACAACAATATTCATCATATCATCACGTCAGATATCTTTGTTTGTAAACAGGACACAAGCTCTGTTATTGCTAGTGTTTATGTTTTACCGGGTGTGTTCAATTTGTTTAGTCTGCACACATCAATAAGCATAAAATGACAATACTGGTAAGTTTGTATCTATCTTGAGTTTTCTGGATTACAGTGTTCATATTTTTCATTTATAAACAACAATTTCTACTTATTGGGGCTACTGGAACAAGTACTCCGTCGATATTTCCATTCCAACACGATTTATCGGATATTACAAATTTAAAATTACAATTAAATTATATAGCGTTGATGTTAATTTGTATAAAAGAAATTGTTCAGTTATTAACTGAATTTTGAATTCCCAACAGTTTTTGAAATATCCACTGTGCCTAGCTTAAAGCTGAACACGACTCGTAAATAGGCATACGCCATTTTCGATATTACTATCTAAGATATCAGCACCAAGGTATACTCTTCGCATTCGTTACACCTGACTGCTTTATTGTCACGGGTATTGGAGTGGAATGGCGACCCGTGTTCGTGCTGGTTATCTTGCATTATCTTTGTTTACATTTTATTGCAGTTACTGACGTGTATTTGTGTTTGTTTGTATACTGCACTGACCTGTGCAACTGTTGTAAATCTCTTTGGTATCTTACTCTCCTGCATTAGAAGATGCACACAGTTATTTTTGTCGCTACCAAGTGCTGTATAGCATACGTCCGTCTACACCGGTGACAATTGATTACACTGAACAGTGACCAAGTGAGTGTCTCTATATATAGGGGCCCTCAGATATAGCGTTAGTACAACCGAATATGGCGGACAGAATCTTTTTACGAAGCGTGTTCAGCTTTAAGCCATATAAAACATCTGCAATTTAAACCTAAAATGTTTCTTGCAAATTCATTTCAGATTGATTCATAGCAAAATTTGAACAAGGTCAGGGCCATAGCAACTGTTTCAAAAGTATGTGTTGGAGGGGGGGGGGGCAACTTTCCAAAATTATCCGACACCCAAAAAAAGCTAATTTACTGTCTAAATCCTGGAATTTACCAGTCCTCGACCTTACAACATCAAAATAAAAGGGGGAGGCAACCAGCATCTAGAGGAAAATTTATCATAGAAAAACACTTCACTCCCCCCCCCCCCCCAACATCCCCGCGTTCTACGGGCCTTAAGGTCTTTTTGTAGATGATTAATATAAAACAAAGCTCTATGTGCATGCCAGTACTTCGGTACTTTGATTTAAACAGATCAAACTATTTGCGCAAAATAATCAAATTCTCACGTTTTAATAAAAGCAAGGTATTCGTTTGTATTGAAATTACCCAGGTGCCTTAACGACATTTTCTACTTCCATCCCATTCTGTGTTTCTTCCTTCCCCTGTGAAGCCAGCGATTGTATCGGAGACTGAGACAATGTGGGAGCATGAACTGCGGCTTTTTCGGAATTTATTGAGGTCGGTGTGGAAAGCCAAACGTCCTCAACTTTTAATAAATCCACTTCTGTAAATGCATTATTAGAATTTTAAATCAGAAGCAGGTTTGCATTTACTTATTGTTCATGGGCAAAATATGATGGTTTTGATGTGGTAATGTTTTAAGCGATTGAATTGATAATACATGTATATGTATTGTCACAGAAAATATCAAGTTAAAAGGCGAAAATATTCCTCAAAATTGAGGGGGAAACTTGTTTATTGATAAATGCACTGAAATCGCTAGGAAGGGATACCGTCGACTATTACATGTATATAAGGTATCTGGCTTTACGTTATCTAACAGAAAAAAGAGGAGGGTTGAAGAGTATTGTTAGGGGATAAAATGTACCTGAGACATCAATGTCCGTATCTACACCAGTTGTAATGCCTTCAACAAAAGTCTTTCCTATTATTGCTAGGGCTGGGACGATACTGAACTTAGCCGATCCGATACATATCATGATACCTTAGGTGCAATACGATACATATCACGATACATTTAAAACCAAATAAAACTAGAAATTTTTTTTTAAAACATTTAATTTGGAACATAACAGTGTATGAAAATAAACTAATTCAACAAATGAACTGTGAATTCAAGTTTCTTGACTCAAATTACAGTCAATTATATTAAAATTAATCAGAAATCTTTAGTTAATTTAATATAATCCGGCGTGTCTGACGCCATTTTGACGCTTATATCTTGAATTCTGTATCAGCAAGACGTTTGTACTTTATTTGTGTTTGTTTAAACGTCTTGATGATACAGACTAAAGGACTAAAAATTTCGAATTCTAAAGCCCGGACATTTTTGGAAATTAAAAAAAAGTGCGGTCAGGTATCGTGATACTTAATTAGATGAATCGATCTGTAGATCGTCAAAGTGAATACTGTGATGCATCGGTGCACCGGTGGATCGTCCCACTCCTAATTATTGCCACAACATGAAAACAGGTACTTTTTTGAATTTTTTTTCTTACCGCCAATTCAAATAGATTTTAAAGGATTTTAAAAAAAATACATAAAATAACAAGTGATCATAGATATATAAAAAAAAAAATCGTAAATTTCATGTCTATTATTTGTTAACCATATTTCTAGACAAAAGGCATTTCATATTCATATTTAAATTGAATGTAAAAAAAAAAAAAAAAAAAATTTAATCCATTTACATGCAGGCGCGTAGCTGCCTATACGCAAGTGCGTACACATGCTTAATAAAAAAGGGAGAGAGATTCAAAGAAAAATCTTATTACCATTCAACAAATATTCGTGTTTTGAATTATCGAATTATTTTTGTGTCATACTGTTTCGATTTGTAATTTATATTAACATGACTGTAAAATAAATAAGTTTCCATGGTAGTATTAACTTTGCGTTAAAACAAAAGCTAAATGGCATTATTTTTTATTTTGTAAGAAAATGAATGAAATATTTGTTAAAACCCAGGAGCTTCTGGGCCCTCATCAGTAGGCATGTAGTTTAGGGAGGAGGCAGGGGATGGCTTACCCTTCTACTTATTTCCAAACTTCACCAATTTACTATTGAAAACGTTCACTGAAAGGGTGATCTCCCACTTTTTTGTTGCGGCTACGCGCCTGACATGTGTGCAAAATTTAAGAGAAAATCTACGAGAAAAGATTTTTTTCATAAACTCGTATTAAATAATTTGGATTATTTTCAAACAAAAAAAAATGCGATTATTTAAGGGTATACACAGCATGTAACAACCTTTTGGCTGATATCACTGGTGTTGACTGCTGATGGAGATGGACCGCCTCCCGCCTTACCCCTCTCGCGACGGAACTCCGCCTCTTTTTTCTTCGTCTGGGACGACGATATGTTTACAGACCTCAGCACATGACCTTTCTTGACATCTTAAACTGTTGATTCTGTCGCATTTTTTTTTTCAAAAGTTAATGTCTCTTAATTAAGTAGTATGCATGTAGTATACAATGATTAATTTATCATTATATTGTGTGTTGTTTGCTTATAATTTAAAATATATTTAATCATATGATTTAATCATGTGTAAGACTAGCCTGCGATTTTTATACGAATTATTGTTCGGCATATAAGCTATTTTCAACACACCAAAAACTATAGATCCTCCACTTCTTTTTTCAGTTATTTTGTCAGCCCCAGGAAAAAGGCATTTTAGTTTATGAAAAGAATTAAGATTGTTTCTCTCTTTCATTAACCTTTTTCAGAAAGGAGTGACATCATGCTGGTAGAATGTTATCATGTACGAAAGTTTAGATTCACTCCTTGAATGTCTCGAATGATTGATTCGAGGTTATTTTATGACGCGGGTATAACAAAAAGGGTCAAGGACATGATACATTTTTGTAAACATGCAGAACATTTGATACTGATTGCCTTGAATGAAAGAAAATTGTTGTATTTATGGAATAATATTTACATCTGAACACTTGAGGTGAGTGAAAATGAATACATGTGTATTATGAATTGTAACGTCTTTTAAGCATCGTCAGCATCAAAGGGAAAACCCAGTGACATTAGCCTAGGCCTAGATCTTACTCGGAACTCCGTTTTTTTTTTCAATTGAGATGGATTTCATATAAATATTTGATTTTTGTCAAGATAAGCTGGTACTTGCACATCAAATTAAAGCACTTGAATCAGAATATCATACACTCTCAAAACATAGGGAATCGTAGGCCTATGTATATAACCACATAGGCATATATATTACCATAAAGACCACCTCCCTTGTGAAATTAATATAAAGTCCTGGAAAACTAAAGTTTGTAGACATGAATCAAATCAACAACTATTTCCTTTGAGATATTACACTTGACTTCAGTTGAGATACCTACAGCTAGCAAATTTCCTTCCAGCATTTGTTTTTCCTTTGATTAGTGTTCACATATGCATCCTAGTGGGAGGCAAACAAAATGGAACGATTATTTTCTACCTCCTCCACCAAAATTTCAACCTCCTTTGCTGAAAAATTCTTTTTTCTCTCTTTTTTTGATTTTATTTACAACTTCGTCTGCCATTTTTTTACTTCCGGTATATTTACGTACTTCGTAAGTTGCGCATATTTACGACAGTTCTAAGTACCTTTCGTGAAACGGTCTTAACTTAGTACGTAGGTACTTCATGTACTTAAGTTCGTCGTAACTCGCTAAGTAGTACGTAATTTACGATGCTTTTGTGAAACGATACCCTGGTCACAACAGCTTTTTTCCCTTCCTAAAACCTGCTTGCTCTTGTCTTATTTTGGCATCGACTGCAGATTTAATTCTATCGATTATTATTCTGCTGAAAATCTTACTAGGTGTTGATAGTAAGGTGATGCCCCTCCAGTTATTACAGTTAGTTAGACTCCTTTCTTTGGCACTTTGAACCATGTCGTAGGTATTGTATTATTATTCCAGATCTTGGTGAATAACGGGTGTAAAATGTCAGCTGCTAGGTTTGGATCTGCTTTGAATAACTCTGCTGGAAGTTGGACATTTCCAGGTGCTTTGTTGTTCTTAATGGATGTTATTGCTTTGTGTATTTCAGCTTTAGATGGTTCCTCAGTTTCAATCTCTAAATCAGTGTCAGCTTTTTGTAGTGCCAGCTCGTTAGGCTCTGGGCGATTCAACACTTCTTCAAAATGTTCTCTCCATCTTTCATCTTGTTCTCTTTCAGATGTAATAAGGTTGCCTTGCTTGTCTTTCTTAGGCATGTTTGTTTTTCTTTTCCTTCCACTCAACTTTTTTGTTATTTGATAGAGATCTCCCATTCTTTGTTCAGAAGCAGCTTTCTCAGCTCCTCTTGCCAAACCGTCTATAAAGCTTTTACGATCTTTTTTGTTGTTTTCTTTAGATCTCTATTACAATTGGAATATTGTTCTCTTAGTCTCTCTTTTATTCTTTCCGAGTGGGTGTTACATAACTTAGTTTTAAGGTCTTTCCTTTTATCAATGATTTCCAAGTATCTGGTGTAATCCATTCCTTATGCACCTGCCTCTTGAACCCTAAGAGACTTCTTGCTTGTTTCACTGAACAAGTTGCAGATTTTACCCCAGTGCTCGTCAACCACTTCCTCATTCTCATCATCACCACATTGCAATACCTGAAATCTATTCTTGGGCTCTAATCTAAAGTCTTGTCTCACTTTGTTTTCTCTTAGCTTGCCTGTATCTATTCGCCTAATGTTGCTTTTTGGTGCTACGTTCATCAGCTTGAGCTTTATGTTGGCAGTAACAAGGTGGCGATCACTTCCAACATCAGCAGCACGCTTCACTCTTACATCCTGTAAAGATGTTTTCCATTGATAGCAATGTGGTCGATTTGGTTTTTATCTCTCCCTCCAGGTGACAACCATGTGAGTTTGTGTATCTCCTTATGCTGGAACAGTGTACCACCAATGACCATGCTGATGTTTTCACAGAATTCCTTGAAATATTCGCCATTCTTATTCATACTTCCACAGCTATCCCTCCCCATAACTATTTCATAACCGACATTTTGCGTCCAACTTTCGCATTAGGATGATTGCTACTCCCTCATGATGTTGATTGTCCCTTTCTTCCAGAGTACACAATAACGTTACCTGTACTGGCAATATTCTTCCCACAATTTGTCCATCTACACTCACTTATGCCTAGTACATGTTACCTGTTTTCCTTCATCTCTCTCAGAAGTTGAGCCTGTTTACCTGTTTCATACATTGTACGTACGTTCCAGAAACCGACTCTCATTTTAGTTCGTGCTATCAGTATACTTCTCGTGTGGACAGTTTCCTGTCGGGTTTCACTGTTCACAGTCAAACATGCAGAATTCTGCTGGTACGCTGAAGACTCGACGTTAGTAGAAATATTTCTAGTCCTTGTTTCCGTAATAGCTTTGGTTTCAAAGGAAGGGGAGATTACCCCCTTGCCCAAACCCCAACCTGGAGGACCAGGGTAATTTGTTTATGGTTTCCTTCCACTAGATCTATGGCTTTACATGGCTGACGAGTCTAGATCTGCCTGTGTTTTTACATTAGAGTTTATCTTCTCCTAGGTAACTGCCTTACCCGGCTTACGCCCTTACCTGAGCGGATATCTGTAGAGTTTACTCCTTAGCCTTTCCTTCTCCCAAAGGTAACCACAAGGCAGCGGTTTGTTGCCATTTACCCATAGCTGGGGACAAGGATTGCAGGCACCAGGGCATATCCACACACCGGTGGGCCATGCATGCCGTGCATTTAGGGGCGTAGTCTCCTCCAAGACCTCGTGTTTCTGCTTGGGGTCACAAGGTACCCAATTTCCATCTGCTACCTCGAGGAGGATCCCATTTCTGGGCCACATAGGTCTAACTGTGGAGAGGCTGTACCTGGCAGGGAAGACTTACCTATTTTACTTCTTTTTCACAGTAAACTGCAAGCCAGGGGTGGTGCTGAAAGCGAAAGTGACAAGCACAGGCACAGACAACACACACACTGTGCGCGTCACACAGCCATT